CCCCCCAAATCCGCGCCTGAACAATGCTGCGCAGCAGCTACACAACGTGCATTTCAACGTTTTTACTTTTCATAGGAGGTGGTGTTGCCCCAACTGCAGACCATTGAGTTGGAATTTGGGGATGAGGACTATCAATATGACACCGAGGACGACGAGGACGATGATGCTAACATCGGAGGCGGTGACGTCAGAGGCAATGCCGGCAACCTTGGAGCCCAAGTGAACGACGCCGAACATCAAGTGGACGACGTCCAAGGCCACGTACATGGCGTCCGGGGCCGTGTGGACAACGTCCACGATGGAGTGGACGCGTCCCATGGTGAAGTGGACGAAGTACATGGCGAAGTGGGCTACCTCCAGGGGCAAGTGAACGACGTCCAGGTCCAGGGCCAAGTTGACGATGTCCAGGGCCAAGTGGACGACGTCCAGGTCCAAGTGAGCCATGTACAGGTCCAAGTGGACGACTTCCAGGACGAGGTAGATGACATCCCTGGCGAAGTGGACGACTACGGAGGCCGAGTGCAAGACTTCAAAAGCAAAGTGGAAGACGTCAAAGACAAATGGGACGATGCCAAAGTCGAAGTCAAAGATGCCACAGGCGAGGACGGCAACGTCGATGGCCAAGTGGACGACGTCCAAGTCCAAGTGGACAAAGTACAAGGCGTAGTGGGCGTCGCAGGTGAAGGCAACGAGATTGTCGTAGTAGGCGAAGGCAAAGACGATGACGTCAATAGTGAAAACGAAGAGGACGAATCGGAAGATGCAGACGAGGATGATGACGAGGATGAGGATGACGACGTGTTCGGCGCGGACTCCTCCGATTACGACGACGACTCCGACTTCAAGACGGAACGGTGCGAACCTCACCCCTCCTTCTTCCAGGTCCTCCGCTCGCTGCTGCGGCCCCACGAGTACGAAGCCATTGCTTTAGATAACATTCTTACCATGCCCCTCTCCTCGCCAGTGCTTGTTTAATCTACCGATTTGATTCCTGCAGGGCGACGCTGAACCACCTAAAGCTGGAATCGCCGCAGCTGCTGCCGCTCCTGGACGGCTTTGGCAGTGGGCTGCAGCGGCTCACTTTGACGCTGGATGACGACCACCACCTGAAGCAAGGACTGCAGCAAATGAGTGCGATGAAGCACCTCACCTTATTCCTGGACCTGGAGGACGACTGGGCGGTACGCAAAGTTACCCACTACCCCGAGGCCAGATGGTGAGAAGTGAAAAGGGCGTAAGTCCACAGACTTTTCATTGGACTTACGCCCTTTTCACTTATCACCAGTGATGTGTGATTGTAATGTCCCCGCGTCCAGCTGGCCCGCTACTTCCGCTTTATTCATCCGTCTGTCGTTTTTAGGGCTACAGAGTCGCCGCACTGTTGAAGTCGTGCCCGGGCCCACTAGAGCGCCTTGAGCTCAGGCGCTGCACTGACGACGGGGCGGTGCGAATCCTGGGAGAGGTCGGGCTCACCCGCCTGCAGCACCTCGTGCTGTCCTTCCACTGGAGCGTGGTGGGGTCGCTATCGCTGGGGGAGGCGGTAGGGGTGGCGCTGACGGGCCTGCCCAACCTGCGTTCGTTCCGGCTCCTGGGGCCCGAGAAGCCGACCCTGATCCTCTCTCGTCTCTCCGCCGCTGCCATACCCAAGCTCGCCGTCATTGTCTTCACGGACAACATCGGGATTTACTCTCTCCCAGTCACCGACTATTCGGGCTTTCGAGGTAAGAAGTTGCGATGCCTGTTGTCTGCCCCCTTCGCCCCCGTCTTTGTTCCCGTTGGATGTGGCCGTTGAGGACCCCATGACCCTCTTCTTTGTCTCCGCAGACTGCCAGGACCTGGTGCGCCGCGCCCCCATGCCGCTCCACGTGATCGCCGTCTTGCGCCCGGAACGCGACATGATGTTGTTCAGGCACCCCGCGGACGAGTTGTGCCCGTTGTGCGCCGAGGCCGAAGCTGCTGCAAGTTTTCGCGTCCGAAAGAACCGCCCCATTGAGCGTATTCAGGTTCAGTAGTACATGCAACAAAATGCACTCGTTTAAAACGCATTACTGTTTCTATAAGAAACGATATTCTTTGTAATGGTGCTTACATTTGCCAGATTAGATTTGGATCAATGTTGTTATTGATATCTATATAAAATATAAATGTTCTCAAATCAATGCAAAATGGATGGATGAGTTAAATTTTCTTACCAAACTCCGGGGAGGCGGTGTAGCTAGATTGTCCGTTGGTCGCTGGGAGAGATTTTTCTCGGTTTGGAAAATGTAGTTATGCTTTACCGCACTTTTGGTTTTCCTACCTCAGGGGGCCGGAGCGCCTTACGGGCAGTGCGGCAGTGTGGCACTAAGCTTTTGACGTTAATCACCCCCGTGCAAGCGGCAGTTAAAATACCTCTTAGAGCCGGATTCATTTTACCTGCAAAATTATCAAAACTGAAAAAAATGTGGGCCCTACCCACCCCGCTTTGACACGGGGACCCGCCTGTTTAA